AGTGTTCTTTGTTTGAAGACAAAGACTACCACTACTATAAACAGACAAATTAATAGTTTGAGACGTGAATATCATGATAAAAATAAAAATTGCCTCTAGATAAAAAATTATTCTCTATGAAAACATGAATGTTTTTCTTCATTCATAGAAAAATAGAAAAGACCAAAAATCCCGATTATTCGTTTGTTAATTGCATATACCAAACTCGTAAATCATAATTTTCAAGAAATTGTCAAATGAAATTCGAGAGGAGCATAGTGAAAAAATACCAGACGTTAAGTTAAAACGTTAATCTAACAACTAGCAATGTATTTCTTTATGAAAAATTACAAGTGAGCATAGATATGTATGTCCATTGACAATTTTACATGAGTACGCGTGGAGTAGCAAGTATGTACATGGACAATTGCTGTTGATGTATATTACTGATCTCTCTTTCCAGACAATGTAAATATTAACGGAAAAATTAGGATAATGAAATAAATAAAACATGCTTAATCAAATATTCGATACGTTGAAATACGCATCGAAGAAATCGGCTAAATCTGTTCATCTTACGTTTCCATACATGTTTTTGAGGATCTACCTTTTTCTACATTATATTTGAGAATGTATTTTTCTGGAAATCAACAAATATTATCAACATGACAACTATTCTATTTCAAAAGAAAGCATAATAACAGACAAGAATAGTATATCTTAGTCACAGCCGATTGTATCAATTAACAATGTACACAGTTCCGTTATAACACACCGAAAAATAAAGTCATAATAGGAAGTAATTGTCTAAAAAGTGAATCTAGAAGTGTTTTATTCAATGGTCCAGAGTACTATAAACTCATTTAATGAAAGATTAGAAAAAAAAGTCAAAAAATTGTCATAAATATGTTCAATCGTTTGTTATTAGCAACAGTATGAATCTAAAAAAATTACGTATGTCTCATGTAAACATTGTCATTGAAGACAATGAATTTTGTATAGATATTTATAAATTGTTAGGTGAATGCTTCATGGATTGAATATGTTGTTTTGTCATAACGTTGTTATCAAATAAGAATGAACTATCTATTCTGATTTTTCTGGCTACTCTTACTTAATAAATAAATACCGTAAAAGAATAATATTGACAATGACTTGATTTGGATAAAAAGCAACAACTTTTCGATGTATCGATTATATTGTATCTCGTGTACGAAAATTGAAAGTTTTTCTTCAATATCTAGCTATTCAACTTCATTCAAATTAAAAGTCTTATTTTATTCACATGATCTTAGAATGTGATTGAAGTTCTGATTTTTCTATAAAATACAGATTTGATCGAAAAAATGAAATACATGGGCTTTAGAAAAAGATTATGCTAAATCCAATTGCATAGTTTTGATTTTCAGAAAAAAACTTTAAAATATCAGGTGTTCGAAAGATCCCATCCTGAGAGGTTTCTCGTTTCGTTTTCCTACAGATTAAACTTCATCGATTCATGTTTTCATGCAGAATAGATAAATATACCAAGATTTTATTCGTATACGCAATCTTTAGAAACACTGTTGTTAGCTAAGAACTTTAATAAAAATATGAAAATCTAACTTGTTTTCTCTTTCCAGGAAAGTTATTATGTGCGATTTCTTTTTTAAATACCTTGAGTTGTTGAATGATTCAAATCTTTAAAAGTGTGCAATAGTTGAACGGTCTTTTCACCGAATTTTATTTCGCTAGATCTTTATAAAAACGAAATAAATAGTATCATATCAAAATTCAAATAATTAACATATGCATCATTCATGAGTTTCTCTGCAAAGAGAAAACAGGCTAAATTCTTGTGTTTTGACTGAAGGTCTTAGCATTGAACAAGGGTTTTGAAGTTTATCTGTGGAAATAAAGCTCTATGTATTTATTCATTATGCAAAACAACTGAATTGATGAAGTTCAGTCTGTACTGAAGTGAAACGAAAAAGCTTTCAAGAAGAGGTTTTTGAGACACACAGTACACTGGATTCTATGAAGAGTACAATTCTTTTTGACCTAGGAGATGCTAAATCATTGTGAAAAACTATGAAAAAACTAACTGCTACTGACTAATTCTAACTTTGACACTTCATCAGGGTCGAAAATTCCATCGACTTTAGTACACTTTCGAATTATATTCTTGACTGTTCTGTAAAATATAAACGCTTGATAAGCAAATACAAATATTATAATTGTTCGAAACTACAGACATATTTAAATCATCTCAAAACTCAAAAAAAAATGGAGTCGATGATTATAAAATGGTCAAAATGGTTCATGTACGAACCAAAATGCA